CTTCAAACGGGATAAGCAACTTTTTTTTTCTTTCTTTTATTATTTGTGAAAAAGAAAATAAAAAGAAACACACCGATAAAGTTTGGCCGGAAAAACTGGGACATTCTTTGTGTATATATTTTCTTCCTATATCTTCCACCATGAATTTTTAATTAGGTGGAAAAAGAAAAAAGAAGAAAAACTACTTACACTTTTTCCTCGACGAAATGATGCATCGAAATTATGAAAAATTATTTTCAATTATTATTATTATTATTATTATTATTATTATTATTACTCGTAGATTAATTTCATTAATTTCCAAAGAACAAGCTCTAAACATATTAGAATATCGATTAACATTCATGGGATTCGTCGCATCGTGACAAAATTGCGTAAAACGGACAAATGAAGTCCCATTCTTCCTTGGAATCATCGTTGTCACGGAATGATGTATCGACACTTGCCTTGGACCATGTAAATAAGCTTCGTTATTAGCCTAAGAGATGTTTGCTATCGTGGCCTAATCGCGGGTAATTGTGTAGAGAAAAATTTAGAAGCAAGTCTGTTTGTCGGCTACTATGAATTTATTCTTATATTATTATTTGAAATTATTATTAATTATTATCGAATCAACTTTTCGATCATGGATACAAAAATTGACTTTTTTTTTTTTTTATTTTTCTACTTGATCGCGAATAAATAAAAAAATTATATTCAAGTGAAAGAACGAGGAGAAGCTTTTTAATTGTAAGCTTCGAAGCTTTAAATCTAAGGCATCTTAGTCTAACGGCATTAAATTAGCGTTAAAATTTCTTTACGAAACTTTTCGATGATGGTATGATACAAATTTCGATAATGATACAAAAATTGACTCCTTTTTACTTTTATATTTTACTTGGTCGGTAAATAAATGTCGGTAAATGAAAAATCATATCTGCGAAGCTTTAAATTTAAGCTTTGACGTTGCGTATAAACCGCAACGGTATTAAATTAGCGTTAAAATTGCTTCGGGTTTACGAAACTTTTCGATGATGGATACAAAAATTGACTTCTTTTTACTTTTATACTTGGTCGGTAAATAAATGTCGGTAAATAAAACATCATATCTGCGAAGATTCTTAAATCTAAGCTTTAACGTTCCGTACAAACCGCAACGGCATTAAATTAGCGTTAAAATTTCTTCGGGGAAAGATCTAGTTATTTTTTTGTCACTAGCGTCATTATTCGATATGGAAGATTTCCTTTCCGTATTTCTGGAATATACGAAAAAAATTTAATTTGACGCCGTATCGTGTATCGAATTCGCCAAATCCTAAAATAGTTTTTATTCATTTATGACGTACGATCCAGTAGTTGACGTATACTTGTTTCCGTGAGTTGAAGTTTATATCGACTATGTAACTGAATTGTACGTCATAAATAAATAGAAAGTATTTCAATATATCTAGTAGTTAAAATGATATATGATACTATGATTGGATTTTCCCCATATAATTTGAGAATATGAAAAGGAAATGTCAGTGTTACAATTGTGAATGACTTTGGTTTTTTTTTTTTTTATGAAAAAAGATATTACTAGAAATATTTTGGATGAATTAATTGCATCAAATGTAATTTATGTATGTAGAATTTACGATAAAATTTTAATCCAATTATTCCTTCGTCGTATCTGATTTTCGTAAAGAAGTGTTCTTAATAAATTGGAAATTGTCCAACTAGTTTGTAATTCTAAGTCGTGACTCATCTGCGGAAATTGTCGGCTAAAAATTCTGAACAAGTTTGCTAAATGATATGATGGATGATAGATAATAAAAAGTATAATATCGGAGAATGATAAAACTCAAAAGCTGATGCTCACCTTCAATTTTCTAATAACATTAATCATAGATTCATTTACCGGAATCGAATTTTTATCAGAAATCAAAAAATAAAACGATAACTGAGACAGATTTTCTAAATCACTCTCCGTATAATTTTCTGGCTCGTAAATTAGCAATTACAAAATATTTTATATTTCTAGACATCTTTTATTTATAATCATTATGCTTTTCACTAATATAGAACAAAATATTTATTATTTTAATATTAAAACGTTTTTTTTTTTATAAAAAAACGAGAAAGAAAAAGAATATTTTCTAAAAAAAAAAACTTTAATTGAACATAACCTACATCTTATTCATTGATGTATTATCACGATATATTGATATTTTCATATCAAAAAATATAAATATATTTTCATATATTTATATGAATATTTCATTTTCAATCTTCCATTTGAAAAAAAATAAGATATAAAAGGAAGGAAAAATTAATCACATCACATTACATAATTTAAATATTACCCATTGAAGATCAATATGTATATCATAACGATATTCTTTCTTTCGTAATTAAAATCAAATACCTTTTATTTCCAATCGTAGAGAGAGTTTAAAGAAGAAAAGAAATTAGAATTGGAGGAGGATCGCGGATGCCAAATCGAGCATTGCCATTAAGAAAATGGTTGATTCGGGTTAAATGGGAAAGGCTGCCCGTGCTTGCAAGCTTACCGACAGGCTCACGCACTCACACGAGCATCGACCGAGTTTAATATAGACGCGCGTTCGTGCCGCGTTCTCTTCTTGCATACCGAAAGTGGACCTCGACGACGAAACCATCACGACTGTTGCTCAGTTCGCTACGGTGAATACGTTTATTTTTCTCTTGTCGATTCCGTCAAGCCAGACGGTACGTCGGCACGAGATTAAAACGGTGGTGGATGGCTCGGTTCAACGTTATTCTAGCGATCAAAATTCAACGACTGAAAGAAAAATTTTTTTTTCGTCATTTCGACTCGTGTCTTACGCGATTCGTATAACTGCGTTTATAGAGGTTAGATTTATTCTTTTCGCGCATTTTTGTAATTTGAGAGTATTTCATTTTGAATATTTAATACATATTTTATACAATTCGTTCGTTTTATGTAATTTTTCAAAATTATTGGAATACATATAGAGGTTAGATTATAGTTTTAGATATTTTATAAGGATTGATTTGAAATTAGGTTAGGTGTTTGAATTTTGTAGAGTATTGAATTTTTGATTTATTAATAAAGCATCATGAAAAATAAACGACATGTGAATAAATAAAAAATAATTGCATTGTTAAGAATGCATGTTGAAATGTACAAAAAGCTTTTAGTGAAATTATTTACTTCAAAAATTTATTTAAATAATATGTATATAAAACTATATACATATTAGCAATGGAATCAGAAACAGTATATGATACGTTATCAGAAACAGGATTCAAAGTAATATAATTATAGTAGTAATATAAAGTAATAAATTGAAAGCAAGTTTTCATACATCGAATTTCATTATGATTTTTAAATAATAGTAATCAACTATAATAATAATTTGGTTGTACATATATATATATATTGATTGTAAAAATATTATGTGCTTACTTTCAATATTATTTATGATAGAAACCTATTCTTTTGAGATGTTTTTAAAGAAAAAAAGAAATATATATCATTTAATTATTGAATAATTAACTAAAGTACCATGTGTACGTTCAGTATCTATTTTGAAGGATTTCAGTGAATGTAACATACGTTTATAGAATTGTCTATGCAAACAATTTTGAGGAGTGGGGGATTCTTAATATATTTCGGTATATCAAGAGTCGCATATGCTTCAGAAGATGGATGTTAATTTAGGAAGACTTTGGTATCTTGTTATCTCTAATGATGGAATATCCCATTCCTAAATTGGATTTCCAAGTATGTGTATAAAGTTAGTTCCATGTTATCTAATTTGATCTTATGTTCTAGTCTATATTGACTTAGGGATTTTTAAAAATGTATTTACAATTAGTTTTTTTTTTTTATGAAAAACTTTTATTTCATTCTTGATGCTTTAATCCATGTTTAAATTTATTAATCATTAAATTTATGGTTTAATATTATTATTTCAGTCAATGAAAGAAAAATCAAGAATAGCGAGTTGAGAAAATGGTCGCATAAATCCATAAATGCAAACTGATATTCGATAATAAATGTCGTAAAATTTTTGTCTATCGAAATTAATTTTAAATGGCTAATACGATTCGCAAATAGGAGTTTATCAGAATAAAAAATTTTTTTTGCAAAAATTATAAATTAAAAAAAATATATAAAAATAAAATGACATATAAGATATACAAAGGTAATACACAACAAATTATATTAAATATTTGCTTCTTTTTCTCTTGCGTCTTGTATCTTTGGAGGTTAGAAAAGTATTTGCATCTTGTAGGTGAACTTGTTATTTCACATGTACATGTTACTACCACTGCGATGTGATAAAAGAATATTATGAGTTTTAACAGGAATTTCAATGACACACTTTGAAAGTCTATGCTAAGAACATTTGGAATACTAATTGCCGGCTTGAATGAAAATTCCATAGCTACGTGTACCAACGCGGCCACCTATTTCCGTAATTGCAATGACTGTACTGCCACGGATCCAGCTTGTAAATCGTTGTGATAACACGTATACACTGTGCATATAACATGTACGGCGAACAGAAATGTCCTACGTTCACTTCGAGGAAAACATTTTTGTATTTCCTGCTTCCTTGTCTTCTTCTTCATTTTATTTATTCAAATTTTCTTAATCATATTTGCGGATAATCTTCATGAATATGTGATAGCTAATATACGATAGCATTGTAAATTATTATTTAACGCTTAGTTCCAGGGAATGTGAAACATACATTGATAAAATATTGAAGTTATAATTTAACACAAATATAATGTTATTATAAATATTATTATTCAAATTATTCATATTTTAATAAGATTTTTGTCTGGAATATATAAATACTTTTTTTAAACAGTGCTTATAAAAATTCGCAAATAAATTCTGAAATTTTTTTGAGGTTATAACCTAACCTAACTTAACTTAATTTCTATTTTCCACTATACTTGTGTAATATTTTTCCTGTAATATTCTAAATTCTAAATCCTAATTTTTGATTATGAATTCTTGAAAAATGTTAATGATTCAAATTTTTTTAAATGACAGTGTATTTGTTACGAATATCTTGGCGCCACATTTCCGTGAGTTGACGACGACGCCGCTCCGGATCACCGGTAGGCCGTTGTGATAACTCTCGTGTCAGGCAGCCAACGATTATATAGGCAAAAAAAAGTATTCTTACAGTAAGACATATAACAGCACCGTTTCGCCGACAACACCCATTCAACGTGAACTGAAAACCAAGCAAACTGTGCCATTATTTCTCTTTCAATTGCGACGTTTAACGATGTCGACCCTTTTTCCACACGTATTACTCATTATTCAGAAAACTCTTAATAATTATTAAGTGAAGAATACGTCGAGAAGAATAATGGACAAAAAAGGAAACAATTAACTTTTTCGATAAACTTTGTGAAAGAATAATTTTTAAAATTACCGTTAATTTCGATACATATACGTCGATCTATTATAGTGGTATATAGCTTCCTATTGTTATCGATGCGATAGATTTGATATAATAAAAGAACAAAGCAACGAATCTAACATCACAAGAGATTTTAAATCATATCATTGATGCAATATTGCAATCGGTTGATATCATATATCTGGAAAATTATTATCATTTCCGGATTGATTATCTCATAATGTTTACATCATAGTATTTTCTTTTTATTAGTTGTTGTATCTGCATTTAACTTATTAACGATTTATGTCTTTAGGATGTTCAAAAAAAATTACACATTAAGAAAAACCAATAACATAACAAGATATCAAACATAAAATATCGTTGCAACATCTGGAGTGATAACAAATGATAATTGCATCAATGTAAACACAAACTAGTTAGTTTTTTATGATGCGAAAATGGTTGCTTTATTATCGACTTTCAAACAAATGTTCAAAGATCAATCGAAACATTAATTTTTAACAAAAATGATCGTAGACTCAACAATAGAATAGAAAAAAATATGAATCGCAGAAATTTCCAAAGACAATGTATAAACATTGAAATCACTTGGTCATTTCGTGACGCATTATCTCGATCAAAAATGCGAGACTCGCCACGCGAACGCGATCTTCTCGAATCGTCGTTTCGATTTCCTTCACACCCCGCCGCATTCATTTGGCGCTGCTGTAAACGTACACACGATGCGAGCAACGAATCGCAGACAGAGGAGCGATTATGGTAGCCGGTAGCTCGCCAGCTGCCCAGCTGGCTATCAATGACGTACGAAAGAGGCTTTGACGCACGGTAGCCAGCCGGAAGGAGAGAAAGAACCGGACACTGAGAAAAAGATGTAAGCAGTTTGTCGAACGAGAAGGTGTGCGTAGAACTGGCAAAAACGGAATTCCAAGAGGAGAAGGCACGGAGATAGAAAGATGATGAAAAGAGGTGGCGCTGTTGAAGAAAATAGAGAAACTGTCAAAACAAGCGTTAGAGGTTAGAAAATTGATGTATAATCAGTATATATTATCAATTTGTGTTTGATTATAAAGAAAGAAGATGAAATTTGACTTATTGGAGAATCTTAGTTATTTTACGTTTTTTATATGGATTTTTAGATGTTCGATTTCTAGAAATTAAATATTATCGTGTGTGAAATTTCACTCCGTACAAATTTCATTTTTAACGTGATTTTTTTTTTTAACGATAATTTTTAAGGATTAACCTATATAAATTTGAACTTTGCAAAACAATAATACAAAGAAGAGTTGCGGTAAAAGCAGTGAAACAGCTATAATAACGGTAATTTCACACAAAATTGCATGCTGCATACATTATCGTTCCGGTAAAATAAAAAGATAAAAACACAAAAATTGTAGAATTAGATAGAAGTGCAGAGGAACGAAGAAAAATATATGAGGGAAACACAACAAGATGAAATTGAGACGAGGGTATTGAAGTGGAGGAAAGAGATAACGAGTCAAAGAAAGAAACAAAAGGAGAGCAAGATACGAAAAACGGTGGCATTGAACTTGACACAACGACGAAGTACCGTGGTCTTTGCGGGAGAAGAAGAGGACCGGTGCTACCGGGATTCGAAAAGAGGAGGGGGGGGGGGGAGGATGAGGGCGACCGGTCGAAAAGCAGGTTTCGGTGGCCTGTTCGTATAAACTCAAAGGTAAAGTGGGAGGCCCCCGACGGACATGAAGAGAGATCGAGGAACGAGATGCGATAAATCCTTCTTCATCTGTTCGTTCCGCTTTTCTGTCCTTTTTCGGATCCCTTCGACCTTGTCGTGATCGCAGATACAAGATCGACGGTTGAAATTGTAGTAGCAATGATTCCGTTTCCGGACATTGTGAAATTCCAACATGTAAACATCGTTTGTATCATTTTCTTTTTCCCGCCTTTTTTTCTTCCCTGTTTTTTAATCTGTATAAAATTTATGTTAAATCATCAATACGATATTTTGATATATCCGTTTTCAAACTTTTCATTATATTACAGGACTAGGAATAAAATTGTTTTATTTTGAAACAAATGATCGTGAAACGCAATTTTACATCTGAACTATGCTCATCCCACTTCTGTGTGCATAACGGTGTAAGATATAATGACTTCTTGTTGCGGAATGTATCCGGTAATGACATTTTATCGTTTATCAATAATAATGTTAAGAAAATATTTACCTTTGTCTGTGAAAATCTTTAATATTATTTATACACTTGCGCAGATCGAAATATTATTTTTCTTTTTTTTTTTTTATTACAGACAATAGCGTCGTATTTATCGAAACAGCTATAGCTCGATATTTGTAGAGCTTTGATACTTTTCTCGGTCTCCTTCCTAACTCTGCAATCGCTGTTATATATCCTGTCGAAGATAATCAAGTTTCCGGATATTTCACCGACGGTATATCCACTTTGTGGATACGATAAAAAAAATGACCGCGCGATAACGACCGCATCATCAAGCTATTCAAATATTTATCATTCATTAGAAGGAAAAAAAGATGAGTGAGAACACGATTGAAATGTGACGAGGGATTCCGTGGAATCTCGCGCGAAAATAATCCCCGGTATGAACGGAACAGTGTGTATATAGAAGGTAATTGATGGACCTTGCTTGGATCGAGAAAAAAGAAGTTCGCGAGATACGTAGACCGAGGCGATTGCTTACGATCACGCGGCACATCGTGCTCGATTCGTTCGTGGCGCACGCACACGTGAGAGGAGCGGACGTTACTTGCACGACGTGTAAACGCTATATAGAGAAAAACATGGTTGCGCGAGCACGTCTGCACTTTCCTGTGACTGTGCACACCAGCCCAGTCGAGCAAGACAGGCCGATGTGCAAAGGCGAGAGTTGTATGGTGTGTGTTGGTGGAAACAGATAGGTCAGCTTGGCGCCACCAGGCCGAGAGGCAAGCCGAGTGAAGGCCGGTCGGTTGCATGCTCTTGTTGCCTGGCTTTACTGTTCTTCGATATCCAACCATCGCTACCAACCGAACCACGCGCATTGTCATTGTCAGAGAAATCATGCATCGTGCGGATCGCTTCCCCCTTCGAACATCGATCGAGAAACCGTTTGCTCGTTCGAGTGAACGTGTTCGTTTTTTTTCTCTTCTTTTTTTTTCTTTTTATCATTTTATCACGCGTGCAGGGATTTTTATTGGAATGCATAGGAAGTACCGTTTACTACTGAAAAGAAACATTTTTTTTTAAAAAATCATGAATTTAGGTTTCTCGAATATCATACGCTACAAGAGATTTGTCTTGAATATTCAAAATAAGTGAATAGAGATGGGATTCTATTGTACAAATGATGTAATTATTTTCAATTATGAAGTCATGCGAGAGGTTGCATCTCGTCGTTTCATTAGACCTTCAGTTGTCCTCTGTTATCGCATAATCGAATTTGTATGCGTGTCCATGTTGACAAATAGCAATGTTAGGAACAAAAATGCGTGTGAAAATAGAACATTCCTCTCGAATACTGATCAAATTCTTCGGTATTTTTTTTCCAGCAGTGAACAACAGATATCGTTGATATTGTTTTTCGTTTTCTTTCATGAACGATGGAAAGCATTTGATAAGAGAATTAATTTTTGTAAAATGTACGATTGAAAATACGTGTTTTATTCTTTTGACAAGTAGAATGAGCATTATAAAATTATTTAATGAATTTATAAAAGATGTTGATGCGATATCGATAAAGTATTGAATGGATTATAACGCGGAAATGAGAAATAGTGGTAATAAAGATGATTTATCTGGAAAAAAATCAGGAATGATATACGGCAAAGAGAAAAAAGATGATAGTTATCGCGTAATTTCGAATTTAATTCTTCAATCTTTTTTTTTTCGAAGCAATTATGTTGCGCTATATAATGTTATGAAATTGAACGATTACAAATTGATTAAGTAATCAGATAAAGAACACTCGAATCGATACATGGGTTCCTGATCTTCGATCGATATCTTTTATTTCATCGTTATCATAGTCATTTGATGTAATCCATTGTATAAAACGAGTGTAATCGCGTTCTTAGAATTGCATATACAGAGAAAATGAATCAAATGATTTTATGGAAAATGTTGGTTCACTCGTTAAAAATTCTTTATCAAACGTGACTTAAACCATGTGATAGTGAGTCAATTTTCGCTTATCTTTATGTTACGATTGCGTTCGCTATATAGTTGCCAAGTTGCTACAGAACTTTGTGCTTCAATCCTCTTGAAGATCGAAATTGAAGGTCATTTAACGAGTCGTAAAATCATGAAAATGAACTTTATCCTATCTTAAGGATAAAAGTTTCCTCGATATGCTGAAGAAATGGGAAAAATCGATGAATTT